GCAGCGAGTCTGTGAGCCGATAGAGTCGGTCGACAATGCCGACGTTTCGATCGATCGGAAACGGAATTCGCGCGTGTCGACGGAAGCGTTTCGGGACTTTCGGATCGAACATCGTCAGGTCGGTTAGTAATTTCAAGCAGACGGCGAGGAGAAAAAGAGCGAGCGAACGAGAGAGAGAGAGAGGGGGGGGGAACGGCAAATTGAGAGTGGAAGGGAGAGATTACGCGCGCGCACACGCTGGCACACGCTAGCGACACGGAGCGGAGCGAACATGCTGGGACGTGCGGAGCGGAACGGAGACTGGAGACCCGAAGAGAAGAGACGCGGCAGGCGGCAGCGGCACGGACAATATGCGTCGACGACCGGCGACGCCGTCGCACATGCGCGTCCTGACGCGCCCCTGTTCGTTCACCGATTTCGATTTTAGTCACTCCCGGGTTCGGCTTCGGAGAAAATCGTCCCGCTCTGCGGCATAGCGCGCGCGCGGTCAGCCACGGGGCCACCACCCAATTCGTGTCGCAACTACGAAAAATTAACGTTAACGATCTCTCGCGAGTCTTGAGTTTGACCGGCGCGCGATATATATCAGGATATATCGTGTCGTCGAAGGGTGGCGCGTGGCCGACAATCTTCGCCTGCATCATCTCACGAGGATAAAGCGGATAAAGTATCGTACGAGAACGCTGAATGAGCAAGAAGAGGCAGAGAGAGAGAGAATAGGCGCGAGCGCGAGACGGATACGCGCGACCGTCGATCTCTCCACGGATTCGACGATATTGTTCTATCGTCATCCTCGTCGTCGTCGTCGTCTGTCGGCAAAGCCGCGGGAAACGACCGTCCAGTCCGATCATTCGGCGAGCAACACGCCGTGGCATTATCGCGACGAGTAAAACCAGAGGAACACTCGGAGAGGTGAGATAGCGATGCGCTTCCGCGAATCGATCGGGAATACATTGTACGATGTTTGATATGACATCAAAGATTGTTAATTGCGATTTCGAAGATCTGTAACGCGGTCGCGTCACACCGATCATACGAAGTTAGATACGAGTGTAGGGCACTGGGCAATCGCGCTTTCGTAGCATGCTGTGTCGCGTGCACTTGTCACAGTCGCCGTGTTTTATAACCGGCCGGGCGCCGATTCTCGCGAACGACCAAGAACGAACGCCGCGAACGACGCGGGACAAAGAGTAGGTGTACGAAGCGCGCGCGCGGAGAGAGGGAACTGATGCGAATAGGTGGAGGACGAAGATGATAACGTGGAGTTGTGAGATGACGTTTCTCAACGTGTCGGAGAAAGAGAAATGTATCGACGCTCTTTCATGTCACGAGAAACGAAGTACTCGATGTATAACGTAACCGATGTAAACGTCAAAACGCGGCCTCATGTATGATGCGCACACGCGGGCTTTCGATATAGTACGGCTACTCGTATAGGGAGGAAAAAAAAACAAGAAAATAGGAAAGATGGCGCGGGAACGCGTGTGGAGTGGAGAACGATTATGTTGCGAGTTTCGTAACAAATTCGTAGTTTGCCTTGCTCCGCTCAAACGATATGAAGATTGTTATAGTATATAAAAAGTTGTTACCCATACAGCACCGAAATATTATAGGAATGTTGCAGAAATTTCCGCAAGATTGCAACGTTGCAGAAACATTGCAATGTAATATTACAATTTAACACATATTTAAGAAATTATAAAATTAATTAATTAAATTTTTTTTTGTTAAAATAAGTATTAGCGTTACATTTTGAAATACATATGAAAAAAAAATAAATTAAAATAAATAAATTTATAATAAAAATAACATTTCCCCTTGAATTTGGGAATTAATTTCATGTTCCCCTCGTCAAATTGTTACTCATCCTAAAGCTGTATCTTAGCTCGCGTCGCTTGATCTCAATCATAATTGCTGCTTCGATGATCTATGAACTCTGTATTGGCGTTTTTGGCCGACCGGGTTTGCACCAATCTGGGTTGAATTAATGACGTTTCGTGCTCTCCTTTTGTTAGAATATGTAACATCAACCATAGCAAACATTAATCCAACACAAGTTAATGCAAATTCGATCGAACCGAAAACGCTGTATGTTAATAGAGGTATAACTATAAAATATCTAATCAATAGATATTATTAAAAAGATGTGTAAGTTAAAACATTTATTTCATAAATGAAAGAAGGTTTAAAGAAATTAAAGAAGAAAAGATTTCGAATTGTTATTAATTTTTATATGCAGAATAGTAGTAAACTGAAATATATATGAAATGTGTGTGTGTGTGTGTGTGTGTGTGTGTGTGTGTGTGTGTGTGTGTGTGTGTGTGTGTGTGTGTGTATATATATATATAAATTATAACAGGTCATATAAATATATGTACATATAAATGTATACAAATTATTATCTATATATAAATACAAGAGGAATTTATGTATTTTTTAATTTTATATAAAAATGAGACATTATTTAAAATTATGTAATTACGTGAGTAATTAGAATATGCATAACTATATATTTACATATAATGTTAAATTGAATATAATGTTATATACTGTGAAATTTTTTTTATTGGAATACTTTATAATGTCATTTATGATAAAAGATTTTTTATGTACATAATTATTTAATCACAAATATAAATAATAATATATGTAAAATTGATTGATATTAGATAAAGCTTGATGAATCATAAATTGTACATGCATACATAAGTATTTAAGCTCAAAGTAGTTTATTTATTTATTTTCATAACTTTTTAAAAATATTACTGCAACTTAAAATCACGTTACATTTCTATATTTAAACAATATTTCTGAAACATTACATTGCAATGTACAATGTTGCAACATTGTAGCAATATTGCTGTAAACTTCTATGCTGTATAAGTATAAAAATGTAATTGTAAAAATCATAAATTTTAATTTATTGCAAAAGCGTTAAAATTTAAATTATGGATTTATTTAAGTTTAGAATTATTAAAAACACCCCGTTTAAAAAAATTAAATTGGATGAAACTGTGATATTTTGTAGATTATGAGATCAGATGTTTCCTCAGACAAAATTATAAAAAAAGGACAGATTTTGCTGTAGCATCATTTGAAAATTACTATTATTTACTATTTTGTCTAATTAAATTGAAAAATATCTTTATCTATTATTGATTTTTTTACAACTGTATTTTAATGCATAGACTAATAAGTTATCTATTAAGTAATCTATTAATGTAAACAAGATTATATTACTTTACTACTTCTCAAAAAAATATACAATTTGTAATATACATACTTGCAAACTACATCTTATTTTTAAATTTTCTTACACTAACTGACTTATTTCATTAATCTAACACAAAAATATTAAAGTGCATTTATTAAAAAGCAAATGGATAGATATTTTTTAATACGATTAAAAAATAGCAACTTTCAAATGATGCTACAATAAAAGGTTTGTTTTCTGTGGCTGAACTAGTGTACACTTTTAGAACTTAAAGTGAGATAGATATACATTTAATATTTATCGAAAGCGAGAAAAAGAATTCTAGAGCAGTTTAGTGCAGGAACAGAAAAGAGATCAAATTTCTATCAATTTTCATGATTTTATCTAAGAAAGTTTTTGATTAGCTATCTATTTATATATATAGAGTATCCTGTAAAAACCGGAACAACGTTTAAGAGGAAATTCCTAAAATTATTTTGAGATGAAAATTATAATCCCAAAATGTCGAGGCTATAATAATTTTTGAATTATAATCATTTAAAGTTAGCAAATTATACCGTCTAAAATTTGTGCGTTCGAGTATGGCATGACGCAAAATGCTAAAAGTGAAAGCTAATTATTGCCTCTTGTAAATATCAATATAAAGATTATGTATGCGAAAATACAATTACTGATATTTCTAATTATTGATATTTATTATGTAAAAAAAAGTATTTTCTCTCAACATTTTGGTATTAGGATTTTCGTCTCAAAATGATCTCAAGAATCTTTCATTGTTCCGATCTTTACGGTTCTATACATGTGTGTGTGTGTGTGTGTGTGTGTGTGTGTGTGTGTGTGTGTG